CTACAGTCTGCGGGCATGTTATTGTCTCTTGTGTATGACTGGAATCCGCCACCTACTGTGTACTTCTCCCCCACTGAACTGAAAGCCTGTCAACAGCCATTATTCCTAGCAAGACCTCTGCTGTGATCCCTGCCATGTTCTATCAATGCGTGGCAATTTATTCTAAAGCCCACTGTCTGAGCATGTTAGCGAGGACTAAAATTATTTCATGTGAGTGTTTGTGCATGTGCCCACACTGCTGTTCTTCCTTTCACTCCGAACCCACTTGTCATTCCGGCAGACGAATACCGGCAGAAGGAGCTGAGCAGACAAGTTTCCCCAGAACTATTTCACAGTGCATTTGCGTGTTTGTGTTTGCGGTTAAATAATTAACGCTGTTCGTCGCCTTGCTGCAACACATCCGTCAGACACTGATCTGATTAAGGGAGCCCCAAGAGACGCTCACTGCATGCCTACCCTGCACAATGACTAATGCTGCATGCATGTGTGTGTGTGTGTGTGTGTGCATTTTTATTTGAAGATGGCTGAGACGCTGTGTGTACACATGAGTACTGACTTTCCTGTATTACTGGTTGTGATCGTTTTAGTGTTTGTACGCTTGTCAAGACTTTGAGGGGGTTCATGTTTGTTTGTTTTTTCTATAGTAATACACAGACGTCCTAAATATGCTTAATATTAATCTACTGTGTGTTTTATCCCTATTGTTTGTGTGTGTGTTTGTGTGTGTGTGTGTGTGGGTGTGTGTGGGTTAGAGGTTATGTATCGTCTTTTTCTTTTTTTTAAAAACCAGCTCAATACCTCCACAGGAAAGAAGCTAACAGAACAAAGATGTGTTTAACCAAAGAGCAACATGCAGGAAAAAAATGAGTCATTGGCTTTTTTATTCATTATTTGAAGTGTTATTTATAAAACTGTAAAAATGGCACCATCCATTTTCATGCAAAATGTGGCTCTGCCTTTAGAAAATAACAATCCGAGGAACAATCTGTAAACAAAACACTGCCATATTATCACCTTATAAAACTCTGTATGCAAACAGCTGTCTATAACATCCTGCTGAAAGTGAGAAACAACAGTGAAGATGCACCATAGAATCCTAACAATGAGCTGAAACCATGCACTATAAATAAAGATGGACAATTTGTCTCCTCTTCCTCCCACTATACAGACATGAAGCCCAAATAGTCTCAGCTGTCAATCATGACGTTTCGCTCCGTTTTTGTTGCATCAAATAACTAATTAAAACCAAACTGACAGGAAAAATTAGCACTTGTCCAAACGTCAGTGGAACCTTCTTTGAGAAAAATGTGTTTGACGTGTACTTTGACTTTTTAAGTTTGGTTCATGTCCCATCCACTAACTTGGAGTTGGCGGGTTTATGACCTAACCACCAGGTTGCTATAGAGACGCTCTATCTTCACTTTGAGGGAGAAGTCGTGTCTTCCATCTTACATACAGTCAGTGACTGGAATAGATAAATGCTTGACTGACTTTTCTCTTACGCTCTTTCACAATTCACTCAATCTATTATTTTTATAAAAGTATTGATTATTGTAACTTTAGACTCATTGTTATGAATTCACACATTACTATTAATTAATAAAGCTCCAACACAAGCAACAGACTTTTCAGTGACTGCCACGTTCCGCAGAATTCATACTTACTCGACGCCTTAAAGGCCAATAGGTTCTGTTCTGTGTTTCTCCTCTCTATTGATTTGGCTGGTGGACTGTGTGGCCTGCAGATTGGATTAGAGTCCAGCTGCATTACAGCTCGAGGGAAGAGAAGCTGCCTCATGTTTGTCGACTGGACAAACATCTACCGTAGAGAGCGTCTGATCCATTCTAACTGTATAGAGAGCGTCTCTGGAGAGGAATATCAGAATGAGAGCTAATGTGGTTGAGACAAGTTACCCATGAAGGAATTCTACGTGGTTTTTAAAGGGTTTCTCTCAGGGTGAAAAGGTCAGAGCTGTCGGTCATTTGTTAAATAGTGCACTCTGTACAGTAAAGTCAATGTGTGTAGACTGATGGAGAGCCTTGGTAAGACGAGCAAAGTCACTGTTGTTTGGTGAATAGGCAGGAAATAATGTGACAGCTCATTTATATTTACCCCAGAATGCTCCATGTTCTGTGTGATGACTGTGGCAGTCTGACGTCTCTCCTCAGCATTTCTATTTTAGGGTGTGTCCGTGTCACAGCAGAGATAGACCTTGACAACACAGGCCCATGCTGCTGTGTGCTCGGTGCTGATAATGGCTCAGACCATTGAAACACGGCTTAGCAACAAGCCCTCTGGCCTATTTTTGGTTTCAGTCAATTATCCACAATGCAATGTGATTGTGTGGGTCACTGTGGCACATTGGATGAAATGAAGGGAAGAGGTCTGTACCCACATCTGTCAAATATCTGCAGGCCTCCCCTAAATGTACTTTACCTGGCTTGACAGTTTGTTTATTTTCTTTTTGTTCTTTCAAATCAGTGTCTGCCCCACCATAATGAGATATGCCAGGTAACAAGGCAAGAAGGCCAGACAAGACAAACAGTGTTCCCTTATATGGATGAGGGGGAAAAAACTGTTTCCTATTAAAATAGCATCAAAAGAAAGGAACAACATAGAACAGAGCATTTTGACCTGAAAGGTGTTTCTATTTTACTTCTCCAATATTTGCCTCATGCTTTTTACATAGTCAAGTTTTTGGTTGATGTTTATTTAAGCAGCATGTTTTACAGTTCTCAACTCTTAACCTCAATATTTTAAAAAACATATATTATTGTCATACAGTTCAAAATTACTGTTAGTTAATGTCTTAGAACATATGTTATATGGATCTATAGGAACTAGAGGTCACATGAAATCTAAAGAAAGGTGTGACAGAAGTAAGAATTTGGATTTAGCTGATGCAAATGATATTTCCTCAGGGGACAGGCTTTTTGCAGCCACAGTAACAAATATGGCTACAAACCTGTAACTACCACCAATGAGTCTGAGATAATGTGGATTCCGTAAGGAATCAACAGTTAGAAGTAGTTTTACAATGAGGACCAAGTTAAAATGTTGGATTTGGTGCAGAATTTAAAGGACAGTGGGGCCGTGGTGGAGGTGTGTGCTCTACTGAGTGTCCTTCTAGTTTATCATAAAGACAGACTGAATACCTCTCTCAGCTCTTCACCATGTGCAGTACAGTGATGTTGAACCACTGAGGATTTAGGTTGGTCTTTCTGTTGAACCGGTGTCTGTCTGTATTAGTTGAATGAATCGTTGATGGACACACTGGCACTTTTCCTGCTTCATGCTCAAATTAAGGACTTGCTTTTGACAATTTGAATGCTATTACAATGTTTTGTGATTAATGTACATTACTTACAAGAACAGAGTGAATATTTAAAGCCTCTGAGCGCTCACGGTAATCCAGCTGCTGCAGAGACTGAAAAGAGGCAATTAAAGGGAAGCATTGATATAATAAACCCAGAATGAGGTCAGTTCACTCTCAAGTCAATCATACTGCTGAAAATGTTCTTATGATGTACTGCAGCATTAGTCCTTATTGTGTGCCAAAGATTCATCAAGTGTTCACTCAACAAATGTCCCCTTCCCGAATCGAGGAAAAATTGTTTGTCATTTACATTATGATAAGACAGCAAAGGTTCAGCTTTTCATGCAAAAAGGACAACATGCTAAACCCACAGCTACATCACTTGACTGGAATAAATTACATATAAAAGTAAATATAACATGCAAATATCTGGATTTAAGCAATTCAAATCAATCACATGGACACAAGATAGATACTGTAATTCAGCAGAGCTCAATGAGAAGAAGCTTGGCTCTCACCGTCATCGCCTCCATTTGTCTTTGTCATGACTCTGATTTAAAGGTCAAAGGTCATAGGTCAGCTGCCCTGTTGAACGTTTCCAGTTGATTAATGCAATGAGGGTCATGATCTTTCTGTGTCTGCTTTGCACTGTACCCGTACGTTATTCTGTCTGATTTCCGTATTGTTTCTGCTCGTTGAATCAAAGCATTAATCCAGTCATGATTGTTTTTTTCTCTCCTTCGTCTGATATCAGCTCGGTCTAGACTTTTAAATGATCCCTGTTTCATTAGGAGATGAATCTGATTAAGGAAGCAACGCTCTCAAACAGCTGTTTCATTGTGACTTTGAAAGCTCCTTCGGGAGCGTCCACTGACTTCACACATTGATGCATCAATGACATATTGGTTGTGTTTAGTTGATGCATCAGGTGGAACTAGTGCCAAGTGTGTCACAAGAGTGTGACAGCAGAACTAACTATATTCAGTTGGCTATTTGTGAACCTGAATGCCTCCGTAGCAGCCTTTGGCCAGAGGCTTTTTGTTTTCTGGTTGTATGTTCTGTCTGTCCGTCCATCCTTCCCATTCTTAAATATGCAAAACATCTCAGAGGAATTTCTTCTTCTTCAGTTCTTCAATGAACTGAAGGGAATTTGGTGGTCGAAGGTCAAGGTCACTGGGACCTTGTAAAACATGTTTGTGCTCTTGTGAACGCATCATCTGAGGAATAATTTAAGGGAACCTCTTGCTCTCCATATTTCTCTGTTCATCTCGACTTCTCTCGCCCGCTTGCTCAATTCAGCTCCCCTCACACCCACCATCTATTTTACCTCTCTGCTCCCCTGTCATTTCTGCATCTCATCTTAATTGCCGCTCTGCTGTTGAATGCTGCTTCCCTCCCTCTCTTACACTTTCTATGTTTTCCTGTCTGAGATCTCATCTATATTAAGAGCAGCATTTGTGGGATGATTCAATTACATGTCTCCTAACTGCTGGATAATTCAATAAGCACCACTGAGATGACACCCAGTTATAATCTACTTAATAAAGCCACTGTACTGATGAATTGTGCTTTCTCTTCCTTAATTCCTCCTCTCACTCCCTCCCTTCCCTCCTCTACTCTTGTCCACTCACTCCTAACCTCTCTGACCCTCTCCTTCATCCTTCCCTCCTCTTGCTCTCTGCAGGGTGTTGATGGAGAGCCATTCGAATGACAGCCGGGACAGTGGTCATCACTGGTGGAATTCTAGCTACTGTTATATTACTCCTTATCATCGCAGTACTGTGCTACTGCAGGCTGCAGGTGAGCCTATCTTACACCCATTGGGTCTTTAGTAGAAAATTAATCCCCCTACCTTCGGCACTTTGTCACAGTATTGTGTTATATAAGTGTGTAGCTTTCAACTGTTTTTGACTCTACAAAAGATGATAGGGTCTCTTTGCAGGAAGTGAAATGTCCGTACAACTGTACATGAATGTCTGAAACAAATTTCATGATGATCCATCCCATGGTTGTTGAGATATTACAGTCTGGACCTCAGCGTTGGGCTGACCGTCCCTATGGAGAGCATGGTCATTCAAAGATCCATGCTGTGAGCATATGCAGTAACCAAGCATAAACTCAATCGATATCAGAAGCTCTTGATCCTCGTCTTTGTGACTTGAGCCTTCTGATCAACAAACTATGGAGAAAGATTATAACTGAACCATTAAGAAAAATCATCTATTCTACAGCTGGAAGAATAGAAACTGTCTAAAATTGCTACAGCAGTGTGAGGAATAAAAACCATATCTATCCTCAGAAAAATAACTTCCAATACTCATTTCACACCAGTGAGCAGAAAAATGGTCGTGTGTTAACAATCGGCTTTCATCAGCACTTCTTCCTCAGTGTGTCTCCAGTCTGAACCCAGCTTCTTTACCCAGTCTTCTTAAATTTTAGCTAATCCTTTCTTTGATCCTTGTCTCACATTAGTTGTGTTGCAGACTTATGTTTCATCTCCTCCTGAGGAAATCACACAGTGGAAAGATTTTAAAAGTTTCTGTCATGTATTCAGATGAGCAGTCTGGACCAGGTCCTCTGTGTCAGAATAAAATAACAATGTAATAATAAAACATGAAATTAGGTTAAAAAAACTACTGTTTTATGCTTGAGAAATCGAACCATCACACCAGTAACAACATTAGGGAGTAACTATTTTTATTCCTTCAGCTGCTTTGACAGCAATAGAGCACTGACAATCAAACAGAATGAGTCACAACTGAACCTACACATATTACATTTTAGTCAATTTTATAATTGTGCAATTCAACATTTTGGAAGTTATGCTCATTTGCTTTGTGGAGAGGAGTTTGATGAAAACATTGATGCCACAGTCACAATTGTAACATTTCTGTGTAAAATGACAATGAAATGTACATACTAGCATCTCAAATTCTCACTTATTAGCAAAGTTAAAAGACATTTCATTTTGTTCGCCTTTTAATTGCGTCTTTTTCACTTTATCCCTGCATGCTGCCTCACGATGTCATCAAACTAGGACTTTTATCATTGTTTTGAATGAGAGACCCTTAATGGTTACATATCGCAAGTTCAACCTTGATTCCAAAACATGTGAAGCTCTAATTATAAGTGTGCTAAGGTGCTACAAACGAACCCCGCAATGATAATGCCTCCCTGAACTGAGAAACTAACCCCCTCTGCCCCCTCTCCCTCTGTCTCAGGGTCAAATGCTTTTGTTAGCAGAGCTGATTGCTGTTATCACATCTTTTAAATATAAAAGGCACTTTCACACCTGTGTGCTACATGTGCGCTATTGTCAGAAAAGAAATCAGCTTTAATCACGTATGTCAAGGTACAGAAAATATGTGTGAGAGTAGTTTAATCTCGTTACCATCTAGCTGAGCTCCTCATTTGGACAACTGGGAATCATTAAACACTTATTTCTTCAGCTTTTGGGCTCTCGACAGCCAGCTGCCAGGAGTTGCATCAGTTTGTCTGCTAGTCTAGGGACATGAAAAATACATCTCTTTTCCCTGAGGGAGCGTAATAATCATTTCAAAGAACTTCGATTTCAAGCTCACACTCGGAGTTCAAAAAATCTCCTTGGAGTATTTTTTAAAAGCTTTGCTCCAAATAAACTTATCTCATAGGAAACATTAAATACTTTCAGAGTATATTTTATTCAGCAAAATTTAATTAATGGGGCATAAAGTTGTTATTAGGGTATTGCTATAACCATTATTGCTTATGTGTGTGCACTTATATGAATATATTGGCTTTAAAATCTGGCTGTAAAGATGACACGCAAGGACTGTGAAGTTCTGAACAGCACCTGTGAAATTTTAAAATGTCATATTATTTAAAAACTGATTGAAACAGTAGCTCAGCTCATCACAGAGCTGCTGATTCAATCCCTGGCTCCTCCTGTCTGAAGTGTCCTTGAGCAAAACACTGAACTTTAAATTGCCCCTGATGATGCCAGGTGTATGAGTTGTATCTCGGTATGTATGGAGAGTGAACAGAGCGCAAGTGAGTCAGAGGAAAATTGTAAAGCACTTTATATAAAAGTGCATTTTAGTGAGCTCAACTGGAAACTAACTTTGCTGAAGGGTAAATCACCTAATACGATCCTCTCCACTTACAGCTGATTGCAGTTCATGAGATTCTTAAATTTCACAGTGCAATGAAACGTGATTCTCATAGTATGGCTTCATATGAATAGGGAGGATACCAGGAATAGATTTGAAAGCTGTGGATCAGAAATAGCAAACACTAGTCCCCCTCTGAGAACTTAGCGTGACTCTGAACAGTCTGTTATTGTTGAGGATTTACGAAGGTGACACACATGAACATGTACCACCTCATGGGGAAATAGACAGTCAATTTGCTCCAATGTCCATAGAGTGCAACCAAAATTATTAAGTAGACACATTGCTGATAAATGTGTCTACTTAATAATTTTGGTTTTATGCATTCTATATTGAATGTTATTAGTTGTTTCTGTCTTTTCAATAATTATGAATTATAAAACCACTCTATGCTGAATGTTGGCCAGAGAGCGCCTACAAACTAATTTGACAAAGAATTTATTTTGCTCTATTGCTGCTATGATCTTACAGATATTGGCATTTCAATAACAAATGTTCTGTCTTTCTCTGTTTACGCCCATTACCTCATCTCTCTTTAACATTTTACATCATTCGATACTTTTTCCTCCCTTCCTATCACTTCTTCCGTGGTCCCCTTCCCCTTCCCTCCATCTCTCACCATCAGTATTATTGCTGTAAGAAGGAAGAGTCGGAGTCGGAGGAGGAGGAGCCAGACTTTGCCGTTACGTCCCGCCTCCCACCGGTCCACTCCAATCATAACATTGTGGCGGCGACGGCCGCCGCCTCCTCCATCCACAATGGCCCTGCCCTGTTTTCCACCCCTCCGCTGGCCAGGAAACTGACTCGCTCACAGACCTTCTGTCCATCCTGCACACACTATGAGCTGCCTTTCTACCTCCAGCCCCCTCAGCCACAGATCCACCACCAACCTGATGGGTTGAGGAACGGAGGCGACCGGATCAGCTACCGCAGCATCCAGCAGCAGGAGCTGGACCTGCCAGTGCCTGTGAACATTTCAAACTATCGCAAACCAAACCTCGCCCGGTCTGTCACCATGAGGGACATGTTCGCACGCAGCTGCAGCATCAGCACTGATGTGTAGCTGGTTGGTACTTGGTGTAAGATTATGTTTAAATGGCTCATAAAGGCTTAAGATGGACAAGGCCTGAGTCAGACTTTGTTTTTTCTTCATCTTGACCAGTTTAGTCCAGTCTTCTATTGTGTGATGTAGTCTGGTCTCATTCTCCTGGTCACCTCTTGCAGAATGGAGGACTCAGATGGCTCTCAGGATTGCATTTTTAAAGGTACTATGCTCCGGTCCAGGACCTTACACTTGGACCAATATAGAATTAAAAGTATTTGTTGAATTAAAAATGTTAGATTATCAATAACATGACATGTTTTGAATATTTCCTCTTTTATTTTTTGACAAGAATGGAATTAGTTTTGAGATTTGAGCACATTTGCGTCATCCTACTCCCCCTGGCCTCCTCTACCCATGGCCTGAAAGACAGAGAGATTCCCTCTATGTCAAAATGACATGTTCGGCAGGGATTTGCTCTCTGCCACAGCTGCTACAAACACAATACGATTAGGAGAAGTCCAGTGTTTTCCTTTTCTATTGGGATGATCTGTCTGTTCCTCCATCCACACATTATTGAGATTATAAAGTAATAACTCGCCACCAGTGGAAGGACTAGAGAACACAGGGGGGATGTCGTGTTTTAGCTGCCACCCACAGACATTTTAGATGGATCTAACTTAAGGCCATGATATTTTAAGACATAAAGGGCTCGCAGAAGATGTAAAAACCCTGGCTTGTTTTCCACATCCCGTCATCGAGGTCTCCGGTTTGATGAGAGGCTTGTTTCTCTTAGTGCCTGCTAACACTGAGTAAGTGAACAATATCATACACTTAATTAGAGAAAGACCTCAGTGTTTTTGCAGGCACTTTGGACAATAGGTGCCGAAAGAGGCTGGGTTCTTGTATGCGTGTGCATATGAGTGAGCGTGCCTGCATGCGTGCGTGTACGACTTGATTGATTGTTATACTTATTCCATACCATTAAACACAATCTGTCACCGCTATGAACCCAGTGGTGGGTTGCAATAACAATTTAAACATTTATCATAAAGTGTAAATCCTGAGGTAAAGTTTCTAGTACCGCTTTTTTTCAGAAAAGGTGGTTCAAGGGATGATTCTGGGCTATGTAACCTTGTACCAGAAAAGAGAAAAGACTCTTGAATTAAGTTCCAACACTTGTACAAGAAGGACTTGCTTATGTCAGAGGCTGGGGGTGGGATTATTGTGACCAATAAGTCCAACGTACACATTGCAAACACCATTTTTAAGAAAATCAAACTGAGCTTGCGTTCTGTGTAGTCAGCTAAAAAGATTGGATATTTTTAACTACGGTCCAGTCATGTTCAGATGCCAATGTACGTTTGCAAAGCCAGGACTAAAACTTGAAAAGAGAAGCTGTCATCCGCCATCGTCGATGTTGATGCTTGAAGTCGCTGCAAGTGTTGCTGGGTAATCAGAGATGAAACGGTTGGACCCCAACATACTGGTTCTTAAGAGGTTCAAGGGTTGAACAAACTCTGAATCAGCCCTGGCACTAGGTTCACTCTGGTTGAAATAGGGGAACATGTGCCACTTTACCCTAAAGTCCTCCATAATTCATTTCACTGCACAGAATGACCAGAGCAGCAGATAGGACAAACTGAGTGGGTTTTCAACAAGGTTGTAAATGTTTTTTTTCCTGATTAAAGCTATAACACAGGTTCAAGCTGTGGGTGTCACTCAGACACAAACAGTTTTTTTACAGCAACACTTTTAAATTCATTATCGTTCTTGTTTCAGTTTGTGGACTGCCTTTCTTGTGTTTTGTCGCTGATTTGTTGCTGTCTGGGTTCATGGGCTAAAGATTCATTCACCTTTAAAGACACATGTATAAATATTTAACGGGTCATAACATACACTGCAGTCTCTCTCTTCTCTTGACGCATTGGACTGAGGAGTATTTGCTTTTGCTCCTCCGTCTTCTTGGGATTGTTTTTTTTTGACTGGGCTGGTGTGCTGATATTCTGACTGGAGGAGCAGTGGCTGAGTTTTATGGACACACATTTAATGGAAGGAATTAGTTACTGGTGGCTTTGTGAGGAGTTTGGAGCTGATTGGATGTCCTTTCTTGGATACCCTGCCCCCCCCCCCTACAGCGCTGCCCAAATGGATGGTTAATGCTCTCCCCATCTCTCTCTCTCTCTCTCTCGTTTTTTCTGTCTCTCTGTTGGTTTAAAATCATGCTCATTTATTTTCCCAAAGAGTGAAACAGTAACTGACTTTGTTTTTAAGTTTTTCCTCTTGTGACATGTGCTTTCCTGCAAATACACTACAACACAATACACACACACACTTACACGGACACACAATAGTTCTCAATGCTATGCTTTTCTTATTTTGGAAACTGAAACTATGTGACAGTTGCACAGGAATTGTAGTGCCATAATGAATTATTAGAGAAATATTATTATTATTATCATTATCATTATGTTTACTAGTGTATATTCAAATGCAGTGTTGCTTTTACCTTAAAGTATTTGAATTACTTGCTTTATTTTATGAGCCAGCTGTTTTTCAGACGCAGTACAGTACAGCAGAAATGTTCCTTGTTTCTAATGTATAACTAACGGACACATTGTTGCTAATAAAATGTTGTGAAAATGCTTCTCATCTGTTTTGTTGTTATTGTTATTGATTTCACTCAAACTAAAAATTCTGCTGTGTTTGATGCAGATGATGTTGGAAATTTGATTCAGATGAAGCTAATAAACTGACATCTGTTCAACATCTCAACTCAGAGGAGGAAATAATCATCATTAGTATAGAAGCCAAATATATTACTTACTCAATGCTTATTGGTGTAAATATATCTGAAAGACAAACCAGGGAAACAAATAATGTGTTTTTCTTTTACGTTTAAAGTCAAACATCAGGCAGACTATAAAAGATCAAATGTCAGTGACTGACTGACTGATCAAAACAGTGAAGCCGTATCCACACATGCAACAAAGTGTGTTTTCGTCCAGTGAGGCAACAAGGTGAGAGTCATGACAGCAAACATGTTTGAATGCAAGAGCGTGAAGCATCTTGAATGGGACACTTAAGCGTGATGATAAACCGCCCTGGCAGAGGAGAGGAAATGACAGCCACAATGAAATGTCACCCGCGCAACACGGCTACGGAAGCTTTATTCTGACAATAAACTGAGTGAGTCACAGCGGCAAGGAGACTAATCGTGCTATAGAAAAAAACAAGTGAGAACTATTCCAGGGAGGAAATAGAGGTAGTTATTAGAAGGATGAGTCAGAGCTAATGAAATAGCACATACCACAGATAGATGCAGACAGATGGAGGCGCACAGGAGCGGATATCAAACCCAAGCCTCGCTGGCAAGGACATGAATAGCCATTTTGCGATGGCAATAATACAGCAGCGCCGCTTCAGACATGAAAACCCTTTCACATTATGATGGATTCCCTTTGATGTAGATATATTCAACCTCCCACTTATTTCTACATGAATTGTGAGCACTGTACCAGGGAATTACTGTCACACTAGCATTCCACCCACAAGACAAATTGGATGGAAATGTATTTACTTGTTCTCGTTACAGTCGCCGTAATTTACGAGTAATAATATCACAGCCACTTCAGGCGATGCTGGAGTGTGAGTTGCTCTGGAACAGCCAAGGGTTCAGCAAATGGCTTTTTTAAAACCCTGTCTGGCCGTTTTGAAGAGGCTTGGAGGGTTTTTCATTTGTCGACATGCACGCTTGAATGAACAATGTGACATTCATGGGAAATCCTCTTTGTTTCAGGTTTCAGACGTGTGTAGCACATTGTAGCTCAGCTAAAGAGACTGGAAGCATCGGTGGCATTAAGATGACACATGTTTTCGGGGAAGGATGTACAGTATCAGGGATTTTGATTGTTGTGAAAACCCCAAATTACTCTGGTTTATTCATACAAATACTTTGGAAAACTTTGGAATTTGGTTTGACAGCAGATTCTCTTTCATATTTCATATTCAACAATTGACTTGGAAATGAAACATCAAACATCAAAACATCACACATTTTGTACTCATCATTCTTCTCTGTATCACCCACTCGGCTGGACTATTTGACTTATTCTTACAGTCAAGAAGAAAGTGTCTTCCTATGTTATTCATTTATAAAGTTCTACTGTTGAAGCTTCCAAACTATTTCACTTCTCTTCTCTTAATTCAAAGTTGTTACTACAGTACAGGATCTAGTTTAGATGTCTCCTACACTTTCACTAACGTTGGCAGAATTGGATTCAAGTATTAAGCACCTTTTATGTGGAATGAGCTGCAATCTCACCTCCAACTGCAGTCTTACCTTCCCCTGGGTGATTTTTAAATATTTGCTACCTGTCATGATTCTTGTAATTGCTTTAATTAAGTCCTTGTAGCTGACTGTGGATGTCTCCTATTCTCAAGAGATCAGAAATCTTAATGACACAGCCAGATTAAATAGTACTCAAATAAAAATAAAAGGTGAAACCGTGGCAGGTAAGTAAACAACATCCTTCTGTCCTGACTGACATTGTCCAGCAAACATTTGACATGCGCGTCGTTTTTTTGGTGATGTGTATCCTTGCATTTGTTTGTACTGTATTTGTATGAATGAGCACTTGCGCTGGCTAAATGAATTATTTAGAGGCATAATCGTCTCCAGTGTAAGCAGAGCTTGTCGTGCGGCCTTTAGAGGTGTATTGATGTTTTATGACATGCTTTGAATTATCGAGCCCTCACTCTGTAGCTCTGTGCTGACTCTCTCTCTCTCTCTCTCTGTCTGTCCACTGCATCTTATTATGGTCTCTCTCTATATATCTATCCCTTCATCTTCTGCTGCCCCCCCCACTCTCTAGTGTGTGTGTGTGTGTGTGTGTGTGTGTGTGTGTGTGTGTGTGTGTGTGTGTGTGTGCGCGTTGGTCTGTTTTATGGCTCCAGCCCATAATTCCCCAGCAGTGGAATTTAGATGCAGCACAGATGAGTGGCTGGGACTCCATGAATTATGGGCACGACAGATAGGGGGCTTTCCAACTAATATTACAAACCAAAGCTTCCTACCCCTTCTCCTCTTATTGTCCTGCTGCTTCAGCCTGCTGTCCTGTTATGATACTCAGATTTCCCTCACACTCTTCAAAATATGATTTTGAAACTGTGGTTGTTCATGTGCTATTTACTCTGAGCAAAAACACAAATAACAATCACTATTAATTAAGGCCTTGTTGAAACTGTCTCAGCTATGTCCAAGTCCAAGGAAAAACAGATACTTGAGTTTCACATTAATCCGTAATCTGTGATCTTGATGATTTTGTGTCTTTAATTAACAAACATCATGGCACCCATTCAGAGTACACACTTATGGCTCTGTCAGAGATGTGCAAAGATATTTCCACGTCTCACACACACAATTGCTGTTACTGCCCGGTGTGTGTAATCTTTTGATTTCTAAAAGCAGGAAAGGCCATGCCTCCTGTCTGAATTTTTCATTCCCCACCCTCTCCGTATAACAACTGATAAATAAGCAATGACTCTTGAGGACATAAAGCAAGAATGGACTCAATTTTATGTCCTCCACTCCCCCGACATCAACTCTGGATACACACTCTGTCTGCCTTCCTCTGTCTTTTCTCACCCTCTTCTTGTCTCCATAAACCCTGTCTCTCTTGCTCTCCATCTTTCTCTCTCTGCTGTGAGAGCTAAATCTTTCTGTATTCCTCTTCCATTGGTACTTGCCCAGTGAACCGTACTGAAAAGAGTGTATGCAGTGGAAAAACCTGTGGGTTTGTGTGTGTGAGGTGGGGGTTGTGTGTGTGTGTTTTGGTGGTTTGAACGTGACCTTTTACTTTGCTAATCCACCGCCGATTTAGATTTAGAGCACTGGTGGCTTTGGATCGGTCTGAGAGGCAGCTTGGTTGCTGAGCAGTCCTCAGTGGCCTCCGTTTAGATTATAGCGCCTGAATATGTGCCACAGCATCACTCTCTGATTATGCAATATTCTTCTCAGTCAAGAAGTGTGTGGGTTGCTTCAGACAGAGGGTGAAAAGGAGAGAGTCTGGATGTAAGTGATGTGAGTGGGAATCAAGGAGGAGATGAGATGAGCAGAGAAATGAAAGAGTCAATATCAGCAGTGCTTTGACACCATCTGCTGGTCAGTAAGAGGGGTGGGTTTGTAAAACTGAAACTTCAGGTGGAGCTATTCTGATCATTTTCTTCAGTGGATTTCTCTCTGAATTCTGACTATTTTTGTTGATGGGTTCGGACTGTAAGTAAAACAAAACAAAACATTTAAATATTTCACCTTGGATTCTGAAAAACTGGCATGGACACTTTTTACTCTGGCATGATATGTAAACAAAAGTATTATCTCTAGAAATTGATTGATGAACACCATGGTGTGACTGGAAAACATGAATCATATTGTAAGTTAATTAAACTTATTATTATTTAGCCTTTATATAAATATTTGAGTCTTCCCAAAACTACTCCTTCTTCTACGCCATTGTCCCAACGTTGTTACCATGGTAACCAAACCAATCGCAGCCCCGCCTCTCGGTCTCAACAACCAATCACGTTGCAGCGTCAGTCTGTTTGCCGTCAACCGCGAACTACAAACTTCCTGCTCTTCACGCGCGGCTCTTCTACTGCGATGAATCGACCGTAACATTCACGGCAGCATGAACTCAGAGCAGCCGGCTGAGACACACCGTGGGGAAGACAAGTGTTCGGTTTCACCGCCGGAGGAGAACGACGTGAAGAGGGCAGCCATCAGACGGTGACTGAACCGCTAGCGTTAGCTCTGTTATTAGTTTGTCGAGCTAGCAAGTAAACCCGACGATAGCTAGCTAGGGTTCGAGCTAACGCCTGTTTAAATTACAGTCACTGGATGATAATTGGAAAAGTGTAATGCCTTTAAAGTATGTTTGAAAATAAGTAGCTCCTCTGTCCCTTGTGTCTCTGACTTGCCTGAAGATCCCATTGAGTTATTGCGCAGTGTAAAACGAATTCAAGTGCGTCATCGGTACAGATGGTAACATGCAGACACATCACTAACATATAAATATATAAAAGCCAACAATAATACATTTATCATGACATCCCCCCTCTTAGTTAGATGTTACCCTCCTTTCTGTTGACCACAAAGTCAACAAGCATTTATCCTCTTTTAAAATCAATCCCTCACCTTCTCTTTCATCTTTCGTTTGTAAAATACATTTGCTTTTTGTAGAACTTGTCAAATTGAAGTCGATTTTTATTATGACAGCGAGTGCTCTTACTAGGAGTTATTTCTGACAAGTAATATAACAAGTGACCAGTCCTGCAAGACAATTTATTCTGTTATATTATCAACACCTTCTCATGAAGAATGTCATGTCTTTGACAATAATTTCCGTCTCTCTTTCCCTAGAACTCCATTTCCCAAATTTAAGAGGGTGCACTCCAACTTCAAATCACCTGTAAGTAAACCCCCTCTCAGTCTGTCACACACACACACACAGATAAATCCTATGTTTAGTGCCACATGTGCACTCCCCTATCATGGTTGCCTGTTTTGCACCTCACAGATTCAAGTAACTGAGAGGGCTAAAGTTAGTCCTGCAGAGGAGGTGGCAGAGCTAGAGACAAGAAGAGATCAGCTGGACACAGAGATAGCACAGCTGGAGGCTGAGTGAGTACAGCTGTGTGTGTGTTTGTCTTGTATTTCTGTTTTTGTAGACCAATTCAAATAGTGTTTGATTGTTGATGCTCGGTTTAGTATTAGAGTACATGGGACAGTGATGACACTCAGAAGTAATACCCTGAAATACCCATAATACAGATCTTTTTGACACATAGTTTTTCCAGCATTAAATCGATTTGCCTCTTTTCAAAATGTAATGTGTTTGCCTTTGTATGAGTAATTGCAAAGATCTGCTTTTGTGTGTGTGTTACTGCAGGGGATACAAAGTAGAGGAGCTGGAACATCATATTGATAAGCTGCATGAATACAATGACATCAAGGACATTGGACAGTCACTCCTGGGCCGTATTGGTATGACCACTGCTCATATAGACAGCATATCTTTCCTATCCACTAGCTTGTAGTGGCATTTAAAGGCACAAATAGTACTGGGCCTGTATATTGTACAGTCCAGCCTTTTTGCAGTTATGACTTATGATTAAACACTTCACACCAAAAATAAACTAAATCAATCAAACCAAAACTGTCAGCTGAGTGAGCTGTCTGTCTTGTCTATGTGACTCATATGAGTTTACACTTCTTGGCTCACTTATCATCAGTCAGTGTGAACCCTGAACAGACTGGATGACAGATACAACAATATGTCTTTTCCCTGATGTAATTAAGCTGTTAGAAAACAAACTGGACAAAGGTGTTATCACATCCTTTAAGACATCATCAATGACTCAGATGAATACAAACAGTTTCTTCTAATCAATGTTGCAAATACTGTTATTTTGTGATGTGTTCAGTTACACGTGGCATCTATTGCACTTCGGTCCGTCCTGGGAGAGGGATCCCTCACATGTTTCTCTCTCTGAGGTTTTTACGTTTGTTTCCTCTGTTAATAGGGCTTGGTTTTGGTAGTTTTTCCTGACTCTTGTTGAGGGCTAAGGACAGAGAATGTCCCACCTTGTTAAGTCCAATGAGATATATTGAGAAATGATTTATGAATGTGGGCCATACAAATAATATTTGATTTGAATATAACTAAAAACAGAGACAATGTCTGATTTACCACATTATCATATACAGACATTGTTGTCTCAATCTAAAACATATAGTATCTTGGAAATATTAAAATATTATAGTTAATAATCCCGTCAGTGGATTTATAAAACAACTAAATTCAAAGGAAACATTGGAATTCAATTTTTTCAGATTTAGGAATAGAAGCAATTTCATCTGGGAAAAATGTGAACTAAAAATTAGGAGCTAGGCTCGATCACATTGATTTTAAAGATGTTCTGCAATCAGCCACCAGATGGCAACAGCACAGTGTGTCTGTACAAAGGCCAAGTCTTTCAAAATAAATTTATGTTGTAATTTATCTTTATTACATTTAGTCATTGTGTAATCAGTACTTAATTGGACTGCCTGTAGGTCATTTAATATTCTATTAGATTAACACTTTGTAATTGGCTGTTGTATCACTTATTATCACATGAGCGAATATTTTGCAATGCATGAAGGAGTCTTATAAGTCTGAGTGTCGGTCAAGTCTAGGTATGAACATGTGCTGCGACTGCATGAAATGTTGAGGAGTTTTTCATACGGTTTAGGGAAGTGATGGTGAATGAGTCACATCATGATTTATGCATGGTTCATAACAAACATGACTTTTTACCCACTTTGTCATGTGTTTGTGTGCATAGTGTAAAGTAAAATCTGGACACATACAATTATACCTTTCGTGCTCTAATGTCACTTATTTTCCACTTCTGCAGTAACCAATAGAGAAATAAACTGGGTGAGCTCTTATTTTAAAATGGTATTGTGAGTTAAAAGCTGTCTCTTTAAATTATCTCTCTACAGTGGAGAGTCAGGATGATAATGACCTCTTAGTGAATGGAGATGGCGTTTCCCCTCTGACACAATGACAGTCTTTTACATCACTTACACACACACACACACAATCTCTCTATCTGTCTGTCACACAGATTCGTGCATACACTAATGCATGCACACGCCTTTAAATACAAACACATCCCCCTCTCAACCCCCTCTTTCCCCCTTTCTGCTTTCTCTCAATCACAGACACACACTTTCACAAAGCATCTTCACTTAAACACTGAGTTTCTGTTGTACTGTATGCTGCTATGCTGAGAGGGAGGAGATCAGTGGGCTGGCTGTGGAGTGAGATGGAACAAGTGGAGATGCCCTGCAGTAGCCTTTAAAGACAACTGTCCCTTTGTCTGTCACCATGTTCGTCAGTCAGTCAGGGTTAAGGTCATTATCACTTAGAGTCGTCCCTTTTTGCTTTGATATGATGTAAATTATTAGTTTTCACAAGTGAAGAGCCATTTATATAACATGGTTTCACCCACAAGAAGTTTGCCCTCAAGATTAGTGTATATATGTTATTGATCTTGTGCATGAAATTAAAAAGAAACTCTTGGAGTAACTTTAAGGGTTAGGAAAAGTACAACTTTGTGCAAGAAGTGGTACATAAATTATTTTTTTTCATTTATAGAGGAAGTGTTTATTTCCATTCTAAGATTTTGTCAAAGATCATTAATCATGTTTCTGACAGTTTATAATAAACAGTGTTGTGCCTTGCAGATGTAATTTTCTAACTTTCTTGTTGCAAGATATGACAATCAATTTGTCACTATTAGATTTTATCAATTGGCAAATAGTATTCATGTACAGTAAGCTGAAATTTCATTAAATGTCTGGGAATTAAAACAAATAGGATAATTAAAAAACCTGAAGGAAAACCTAAACTCAAAATGTTGTACATTTGCACTGTATAAATGAACAAGGTATAGAGGAAAACAAGCTGGGCTTTGTATCAGGGTCAGAGCAGCACAACTCAGCATATCTTGGTTGTGGATGAATCAAACCAGGGCTAGCTAGAGGGGCTCACTTTGAAAAAGCCTGATCTTACATTTTTAAGATGCAGTGAAAATGACCATAGAGACTAATATAAGAGCTTGGTTTAATTTTTACTACAGGCCTTTATCTTGAGTGATTCCATTGTTCAGTGCTATGATCTGGCTGTGGTCTGTTTAGTGTTTTGAGGTTTGTTTGAAAGAAGGACAAGAGGAAGTTGACCATGTAATCTGCAGAATGGGGCCTAACCCCCACTTTTCTGTGTCTTGCAGCTGCTCTGAGGGGGACCACCACACGAGATCTCTACAGCCACTTTGGTCTGGAGCTGGATGACTGAAAATATAGAATGAAAATACAGTGGTGAGAACGGTTCCCAAACACCGAGGGGAAGGGAGGCATGAAGATAAAAAAGAAAAAGGAGCAGAATAACTTTTTGATAGGAGTTTGGATGTGGACTAAAGATGAAGAAACTATATTGATCTGAACTTCCTCAAACACATTATTCCTAAATCTCTCTCTGGTGTTCGGTTGGGTTCAGATATGGAGACAAAGACCATTAGGGTTAGGCTGATGGAGCCTTAAGGAAAAATTGAGGTTTTCCAGAAAGTATTTATTTGGTTTACGTAGAAACGCCGCTCTGCTCCTCCACGACTTAGCCGTGAACATATAAAATAGAAATATTTCCATAGTGGCGATGACAAAAGACGCCCAGTCTCAACTCAAAGCTAACATGTAATTAATTGTCATACTCCTATAAAAGCAGTGAGCCCTAGCCTTAATAGAGGCATTTGCATCTTTGAATCCTTCCGAGACACAACTTTGAAAGGACTTGTTTTGTTGTTACATTTGCACTTATCTAAATGGGGTTTGGATAAGGGTATGCATGCATGATGACTTTATGATTATCAGTTGTTTGCTGGACCTTAACATGTGAAATAAACAGCTTCAGCTCCGAGTATAATATGCCTTGTATATTGACAACAACATACAATAATGTACCACCTATATAGTATATTTCTATTTGTATTGCCACCTCCTAGCACACGAAGGAAACTTAAGAGATACGGATACATTGTGGATGCAACATTAGTTTTTGTGAAATTAATCATCTGAGTTTAACTATTCTAGGTTATCAACAGTCTCCAAATTGTAAGTACATGCTTTTTGCTAAGTAAAAGTGTAACAGTTAAAAATAATCCACTCTTTTAACATGCGTGACTGTTGAAATCAATCTCAGTTGCGACAGATGAATGTTGTAACATCCCCCTAAAGAGTTAACGTCACTCACTTCACAAAAAATATCAGACAACTGTCACACTCATTTACAGTTTCCCTGTCATTTCAATGGGATAATCCAAAAGTCGAACATAGGAGAAAGGGTTTGGTATCTACATAACTTCCTTTATTTAAAAAAAAATATGTTCAGATTGCCTGAAAGGTTCAGTAAATGTTCTGCACAGACAACGCACACAAGTGGCATAATATAATGGGTGTGCCCTTATCTGTCTGAGAACCACTGATAATGTGTCTTCTTGGACTTGGAATGATAGCGGCTGAGGAGCTGCACAGCTCTGGTGATGCTGTGTGTGTGTGTGTTTGTGTGTCTGTATCTCCATGGCAGTTCTCTGAGTGTATGATGAATAAGTGACGCGTGTGTACACTTTAATCTCTCATTTACAGGTCAAAGCTCATCCTATTTTCTTATCCTGATCTCTGAGCTTATCAGTCATACTGTGTTCAGTGTGGTACATGTTCATACAGGATGATACCAGGTGATAAGCTCTGATCACAGTGTAAAATGCTGACTTCTATGTGCTCATGTCTTCTTGCACACGATGGAAGCTGTGACAATGGGTTACAAGCTGGTCAGTAGGAATATGACTTAATTCTGTACAGTGTTCTGTAAGAATTCTAAAATAAAGCTCTCCAGACCTTCAGTAGTGACACACATCTGTTATAGTGTACACTGTGTTTAATGACATGTTAAGCTGCTGTCATGAAAAACTAGGCCAAAGTTATTTGGCAATGGAAGTTATATTTTCACCCCTGTCTGTGGGGTTGTTGGTTTGTATGTTCGTTTGTAAGCAAGATTACACAAAAAACTACTGGACACAAAAAACTACTGGACAGAGTACACCAGAACTTGGTGGAAGGATGTGGTATGGGTCAGGAAAGAACCAAATTTAGGTTTGGATCCAGGATTTTTTTTTTTCACTTCAACTTTGGAGAGTGGCATTTTCACTTTTTCCATGGATCTTGATGGGAAAATCTGGCACTTTTAGGGGACTGATTTCTGTGAGTGTGTGCATCTTGATTGAATGTAAGGAGACTGTTGGGCCTTGTTGGAGTTATGTGCTCTACCGAGAGCCATTCTAGTTCTGTTTTGACATTACGGGCTGCAAGACTTATCTTCTCTTACAAAAAAGCAGCAGAAAGGGGCCAACTTGTAGCATTGCATTGGCAAATCACTTGGCCCTCTTACAATCTTTCAGTCATGTGTGCCTCTGTTGTCAATTGTATTTTTTTTTTTTTATTATTATTTGTTGTAAAACCTGTGAGTGGTGCAAAGACAATCGCTGGTTTTTCAGTGAACAGCCAGCCTCCACCCAAAGAGCTACTTACTCCATGTAATCAGCTGATGCAGGGGAAACCAGCAGACTGATGGCTTTAATGGTTTCCACCTATATTGACCCACAGTGGCAGTTGATAGCAGCATTGTTTGAAACCGTGTCCTTCCTCATTCATCGGGTCCCCTGTGCAGACAGGAGGGCATTTAAGGCACATCTTGTGGCTGAGCGCGGAATAATGAATGGACGTGGCTGGGCGGACTCTACGGGGAGAGGCAAGGCTCATTTTACGCACCACGGTTCCGCATCAGGGCCTTGATGTCTGCTGGGTGGAAGCTGCTGTTGTGAGCTAGCAGCTTGCTCTGTATATATAAAGAGGCGAGCAGGCAGGGCCGCGCCGCATTTCCTCTTCACCAGTGCCGCAAACCCGCCCCTGCCGGATGGGAGATGTAAATAAAAGACAGCTCTCCATTGGCTGAGACGCACGTTCGTCAGCGCTTATTCCTGCTACAAGTGATGGGACGTTGACGGTGGTGGGCGGGCGCAGCTTAGAAAATTGTAAGGTCATTTGAATTACGTTTGCCAGCGAGGTGATCGGCCACAATGATCCCAGAAATGCTATCAGCGGCGGGATGAGGATGATCACGGGGTCAAAGTCGATGCGCACCGCCACGCGAATCTGACTCCCGATCAGCCGGAGGAGAGGAGCAGCGGCTCGGTGTGGCAATCTACAGCAGGAGGGGGGGGGGGGATCCCGGTGCGTGTGTCTCCGTCCGTGTGAGCCTCTGTGGAGCCAGGCGAGCGGCTGTGAGAGGCGGAGGGGGCGACCGGGCTAACGCGTAAGCCGATCAAGGTGGAATCGCACACAACGAATTTACGCGTCAGGGGATTTCTGCGCACATACATGCTGTGACGGTGCGAGCCCAGTGCAAGGTATGTAAACCCCCCAAAAAACCTCCCGGGCTCACCGAGCACCCCTGTGATGATTCACCACCGATCGCTCCGGTTATTATCCGTTCGGAGAAAGGGAGACGGAGCCGGCAGTGACTCTTGTCCTTTGTCAACCTTGTGAAACGCAAGATCCACTGACGGGACTCGAGAGGTGGCTCCGCGTTGTCACACTCTCCATGCCCGTGATGGGTGATTTTAATGCGGGCATGTATTCTCAGCGTGGCGCCTCATCCTGTAACGGGTTGCTGATGTTGTCACCATCCGCTTCCTTGCCATAAGCCGACGCGCACAATACGCTGCGCATCCTGCTCTTCTGGGCGCGCATGCAACCACGATCACCTCCATCGTGCCAGCGTTAGCCCGATGGATGTTCTCCAGCCGGGCTGCGGTTGAAGGCCCTGCCTGAACGCGCACATGGTTGGTGAGGTGTCGTCTCACCATCAGTGGGTTGAGCCGCCCTATGATTTCCTCCTTATCTACCGCAATATGATGCTATGCGCCTGCTACATTACGAGTGTAGCAGCAGCAGCAAATGGCAGCTAAACGTTTTTTTCTCCATGAGGTGGCTGCTGCTCCTTTTACTGCATTTCTTTCCCCTGACGTGCCACATATTCTATCATGCTGATCCGCTGGATTGTAATTTAATCGTCCAGTCACAGAGCTGTGGTGTAAATAGCAGCAGAGTTATTGAATTGCCCTGATGAAGCCATCATCACCATTATAGCCACATGCAGGGAGACAGAGCAATAAATATCCAGTCAGCTTCTAAGAAAACCTACCCTCCTGTGATAAATAGCCATTTTCTATAAAAGCTCAATTGTTGTCTCATAATTCTACCCTTCAGTTTTTTTTCTAAGCAGCCTAATGAATATATAATATGCAATGTAAACCTATCCTTCGCTGGTTTAGGATCATCTTCCCAGCTATCAGGTGTCACTGAGCACCACGGTGCTCTGTTGTTCTTAGCTGTCACATAAAGACTATTTTCTTTGAATAAGGGTTTCCCCAAGGTCTCCTCAGCCTTGGGCTTCATTCGACTGCAAGAGAAAAAGAAACTCAAAAGGATTTCTTGGCTTCATTCATAGCGCACACTTAAAAAAACAAATGTACCACACTCCTATGTTATTGCCTCTTAAGTATTTCATATGAGGCTAATGGACACAGGATGTCTGTGAAGGTTCATCCAGGGGTCTGTACCACGACAAAGGGTGTGTGGTGATCGAGGTTACTTCAGGTTTTAATTCTGGTTTTCACTCCTGCGAAACTGGTTCACTTCCTCCCATGGTAAATAACCATGGCAACGTATGCTGAATCCCTAACCTGCTCCGGAGCAGGTTGATTGAAACCTGTCAACACCCAAACTAATAACCAATCAGATCATCAGGAGACTAAAGTCATGGATCTCAGTTTGTTTATCATTAGGCAAAAAAAAAGCCAAAAAATTCCATAAGTAGTAATATTCTTATGCATATTTACAGTTCATCATTAGCCTTAATTTAAAAAGCTGATTAAAATTGTTTCTACAATTTTTTTTTAATTCTAGTTAAGTGACCATTATGTGCATTTCATTTTGTTGAATATCACTGTTAGAAATAGCTTTAACTGACACTAATGGCAGGTATCAGTGTTTCTTCTCATATTAAAAACTAACTTCACCTCTTACAGCTGAAAACCCAGAGTCACACAACCTTTGTAATACAAGTTATCAGGGCAGCCATTGTTTAGTTTACTGAAGCCATGCAACCAAAAGATATCAGGGATATGTGACTTGTATGGGCAGCTGTACTTTAGTAGTTAGTGGTTTATAATCTTGAAGACATTTCACTTCTTGTCCAAGAGGCTTCTTCCTTTCTAACTGTAGTAGAAGGGTAAACAACAGCTGTAACTGTTGTTGCAGAAGCCATGAGTTTAATAACAGCAACCAAGTTTAGTTGCACTCGATTCAACTCTTCTAAGTGCTAAATAGCAGTCAATTGGTTTGAATACCACTGTTACGAACTTGCTTGAACCACATTTAACATGTCTCCTACTGAACTGATGTTTAGTCTGAATTGTTTTGAGTCGCTAGCCACTATCTGCAGCCTGTCGGTCACAATCTTTTTCCATTTTTGTGTGTGCATTCTTCCAGGATGATGCGTCTAGGGTGCTGCACAGCCCTGCTGTTTGTGTTGAGGCTACTGGTGGGCTTGCCTTGGTACCAGGTTCTGCCGGCCATATTGATCTTCTATCTGGGAAGCGGAGGATGGAGCTTCCTGCAAATTTTTGCCAAAACAATCGGCAGAGACTTACAGTAAGTGTAATTAATGATGAATAATTAAACCCAGAAAAAAGTGAAAATTGCTTTTCAGTCTCTGCAAGCATGGGAAAAAAATACTGCCATTGATTTTTCTTTTCTTTTTTCTTTTATTTACTGCTTTTCAACTGATTAAGTCTTTCACAGACGCTATCATAGAAATTGTGAGGCACAATTTTGTGCCGTCTGTATTTTGACAATGACAAATTTGCTCTGTACTCCAGAACACTGGAACTCAATTTAAACAATGGCTTTGAGTTCTGACTTTCAACTTGAATGAGGTATTAATATCCAGCTTGTGTGAGCAGTATTAGAACAATAGCATCATCACTGTCTTCAAAAATGAGGGAATTGTACTTTTTTATGTTAAAAAAGAGCTTTCAGTGGGAGAACAGCTACTATTATTTATTGTCAAATGCAGTTCACACAGCCACAATAAAATAAACTGTGCCACTGTAAAAATACTTCAATGCTTCTCAATCAATGTTCCTGGGGATAGTTTCCTTCATCCAGAACAAAACCTTGGACACAGAGTAATTTGAATAAGACCTTTGTACACACTGTAGTTGCAGAGAAATATTTAACATAAAAACGACGTCATATGTTATTGAAAAGTCAGAATATGACGAATAAAAACTTTAAAGCTCTTTACATACCTTTGCTGAGAGCCTTTTAAAAAAGTTATAAATCAGAATGATCATTGTCACCCCTCAGTGGAATCATTTGTGATGACACAACACAATGACATCCACTCATTGACAGAAATGTTGTAACGTCTTAGTTCATTATTAAAACCATACACCAGGTCAAGATCCCTCACAAACTCCACTCTGACTGAAAACCAGAAAGGTATCTTGCAGTTTTTTATATATTTTTGTTGTTTCACGTGTCAACAGGTTTGTCCAACGGAGGAACATGTGCACAGGTTTTCACATCTCTAACGTTGCAAAAATGTAGACTGACATCCTTGAAAGCAGCTTTTTAGAACTCAACGACCAGGACCTGAGGCTCTTGGTCATCAGGCCTGGCTTATTAGCCACTGTTTGTAACCAGCTGCATATTTCTGTCTGTTTCCAAAATATGTGACAAAACCGGTGGCTCGAAGTATTTTAGACAAACAACAGAGAGGAGAACGAGGGAGCAAAGTGACTTTCTTATCTAAAGCTATTGTTTACGTTTGAACATTTTTTTTCTCCATGAGAAATAAGACAAAGTGACATAACAAGTTAAACAGCAGTTTATACAGCAAAAGAGGCAAAGATCGCAGTTCGTGTTTTAAAGATAAATATCTTACCACAGCTAAATTGTTATCTTCTTAAGACCAATTACTACCTAAATGTTCAGCCTCCAAGTTGGGTTTATCTGCCAGGCTACAAATACCTCTAAGTATATAATTCTGATAGTGCTTTAGTTAAACGTCTCCCTATTGGCAATGTCTGAAGACTCAAGGTTAAAAATTCACCATATCTGACTGGGTGAATGAGTCTGTTTCCTCAGTGACTCATAAATTCTTGTTGTGCAATCTGTGGTGACATGGGGTAGGTCTTTTCAGTGTCAGAAGCTGTTTGCTTCACATCTTATTGTATATGTTGTGCTAAACCAACCCCTAGTCTAAACAAACCTGTCATTACATTATTTACATAGTTTAGAGTCCACGAAGCTCATGTGTCGCATTAGAAACGGCTGCAACTTATTGCGGTCAAGTGTATAAACTACTGGGCAGTCGGAGAGTGCATACCTCCTTCAAGGATGATTTGCCATTATTTCACCATATTGCATACACATTGCGATCCAATCCATCTCCATAATTATCCGGATGTACACCAAATTTCATCTATTCATAAATATTAGTACTTTACACCTTTTCTTGAAGATCATACATTTTTTTGAAAAAAACACAAAAACATAAAAAAAATCCCCATCTCATATCATAATGTGAAGGAGATTGAATCCACTCAAAAAATCCTTGGCTCATAACTCATCCTTCCACCAAGTTTCAATAAAATAGTTTTTGTGTAATCCTGCTAACAGAGAAACAGCAATGAAAGCAATACTTCCTTCGTGGAGATAATGAAATAAATGGACAACACTGCAACAATGAATTGTGGTAATCGTGACCAACGTGAAACTAATCCCCAAAGACAAAAAACTTTAACACCATCACTGTGATGGTGTTAACGTTTTTTTTTGCTGTGAAGTAACTTGGCTGGATAGATTTTTATAATGTACCTTTACACCATAAATCTACTGACCTGGATGTTTGCATGTATTGCCACTCAGTCATCTCTGTCATAACCTTTTATATCTGGTTACCTTTTGCACAGCAAAGTAAGATAAATAGAATAAACTGCAAGATAGATATCATTAGTTGCTCAACTATAAATAAGCTTCAAAGAACAAATCATTACTATATCCTTTTCTGATTCCTGATTTTCCATTTACCACCCATGCATCTATTTTACAGGGAAAGGGATTGTTTTTCAGAATTTTCATTACGTAGTAAAAATCAACTGACTCCTAAACCTGTCTGAGATAAGTGTTGTAAAAGTCCCGATCATAGGTCGCAATAAATATTCAGTTCGTATATTTGCCTTTTTCTCTTTTAATATTTAATGTTCTCTTGCTTCTTCAGTGCGGCAAGTGTGTTGTTGCGGGTGAAGATGAATGTCAGACGTCACCTCAAACAGAAAAACACAATTCCCAAGATCTTTGCTGAGACAGTGCGTCGCCACGGTGACAAGACGGCACTTATCTTCGAGGGTACGGGGGAAAAGTGGACCTTCCGGGAGTTGGACGAGTACTCCAACAGAGTGGCCAACCTGCTGCTACAACGGGGTTTCAAGGTACTTGTATTGAACAACATTTCCCTTAAAGTATGACTGAAACAAATGTATGATTTAATGTCAGTTGATCAGTTTATGGCTGTCAGCTTCACAAGTCCCTCTTCTTGTTGTTTCTCTCCTCAGGAGGGTGATGTGGTGGCCCTCTTCATGGAGAACAGGTCCCAGTACGTGGGCCTCTGGCTTGGCATGGCCAAGATTGGAGTAGAGGCCGCTCTCATTAACTTCAATCTGAGACTAGAGGCCTTGGTCCACTGTGTCACCATCTCCAATGCCAAGGCTGTGGTGTTTGGCGCAGAGCTGACTGATGGTGAGTGCGGGGAAGAATGGAGGAGGGCTGTGTGGGGGTAGAGGGATAGATTAGAGAAGCATCTGAAGGATATGTGACGGATTTAGTTGCTTACGGCAACAAAATCAAGATTGTAGCTAGAAATCTGTCTCTGAGGGCTTTACAATCTATATGACGACGCCTCATGCTGATGAGTGTTGTTCCACTTCCGTTATGATGAGACTGAGGGCGCTGAGTGGTGCAGGGAGGTCGTAGAAAATTGATGGCTTTAGGAGGAGGTGTCTCTTTAATATCAGTCACTGCAGCTTTAAATGGCTGATGGATGAAAGAAAGAGAAGAAATAATGAAGAAGGAAGTGGAGAAATGTCACCGCCTTCAATTTGCCGTGTTCAAGGTCTGAGCATGGACGATTTTCTGATAAATGATAACATGAAATAGATAAGAGATACTGTATATGTAAGGGGGGGGGGGTGACCTACAGCACTGACATGGAGACAGATAGGTACCGTACCATACTCAGCTAAAAAGAGATTAGACTATCAGACTAAAACAAAAGAGCTGATTTAATACCACTGTAAACCCCTGATGATTCACCTATTGTGTTTTATAAATTAGCTGCGTTGTTACATTAAGCCTGTTGTTTTAATGGATAAAAAAAAATTGCAGCAGCTCAGTAGATTGGCCAAACATAAATTAAGGGATCTGTTTCAGTCTCCTCATTATCTCCTTCTGGGACCCTACATAATCTGAAAAGCCCTGATCTCAACAGCTATACAGTTACAGCTGTTGAGATCGCTCATCAGCTCTGAGTGAATCAGTTTGGAGGTGGTCATCCTGGGATTAGTCTGTCTCATGATGTGAACTCAAGGTATTGGGTGCCTGATTCTGCTGACATTCTCCTCCCTTTCTTTTTTGGGAATTCTCTATTTGCACGTGCAAGTTTTCCACCAAAACAAGTCCCCACCTTGACACACCATTGCTGCATCTTGGGATTAGTACCACCACCAGTTATACAAACAAGCCAGAGTGTTTTTCCCCCGTAGGAGAATGATGACAGTGCAGCCAGACCATTCTCCAGCGCTGACGCAGCACTGTGGAGACTGTGTTAGGATGGATGGAAGAGTTTCTGTGTTGGGTGCTGGACCTGTCATGTGCTTTTTACCTTTAAGTAATTAGAAACGCAGCCTCTTGGCTCCTGAGCCAGGCCAAGCCAAGCCACTAGCATTAGCACTGAGCCAGCATGACACAGGGCTTTTAAAGGAAGATGCAGTCAGTTTTTTTAAGGGGAACATATTCAAGATGTTTCTTTTTTTCTCTCTCACTCTCCCGATTTCCACCCTTAATGTTTTTCTCCTTTGTTCCTTGTCTGCTCTGGTCGTCCTCCTGCAGTTGCTGATGGGAAATAACCTAATTTGTTCTAATGTGTTTGTCTCCCTCTCGAAGCTGTTTGCGAGGTCCACAATTCAATGGGAAAGGCGGTGCAGATGTTCTGCTCCGGAGACTGGGACCCGAAACGAGTCCCTCAGGGCACAGAGTGCCTCGAGCCCCTGCTGGCTGCTGCCCCGTCTCACCTGCCCAGCCGGCCCCTACGCTGCTTCACAGGTGAGAACCGTCATCAGTTTTCCAGACATTTAACGGTTGCTCTTGGGACTAATTTATGTGATATTTTTTCAGTGGGGCAATTATAATTCACCAACCAACAACCGGTGTCCAATTCATCAGGAAAAAAAATCCTCCTGTCAGACTGTCAGCGCAAACTCGAACCAAAGCAATACAGCAATTTCAAAAAGTAATTTCTTTGCTTTCACTGATAGTTGGGCAGCCTGGTCACAAGCTAAATGAGAGAAATTATTCCTCTGTTTTTCTTGTTACAGGCAATTACTGATGCCTCACTAAGGATAATATGCATTGCTTGTTTCTAAGGAAACTCATATACAGTATCTGGGTCAACAGAATGAATTGAATCCTATTAATCAAGCAAAGACAATTTTTGATAAAAACAAAAATCCCAACTTTGCCTCAAAACACTTTTAAAACATACCCTCTGTTTTATTTTGGTATTCAATATTTTATGGTATTCAATATTGTCTCAATGAATCAAGTCCCACCTGCTGATTCATATTTATTATGTCGGCCACTTCAGCATCACATGGCAGCCACGCAGGCAGGTGCTGCTATAAAACCTGCGACCTTTGCTCATACTCGTAAAATGTTTCTCCGACAATCTGGACACAAACAAAACGCATCAGGATTAGAACAGTAAGGTCACATTCAGATGTGATTAGAGCATGTGCAAGTGTACACATACAGTATGTAGTGTGAATGTGAAGTATCGCTCCACAGAGGGGCTGGTGGTTGTTCCAGGTAAGATCAAGTGTGAGCAGGAAAGTGAAATCCAAACACAAGCCCACTGTGCATGTAAGAATGTGCTGTGCTATGGGTTCTACCTTGAAGGTTTGTGTTTTGGGGTGGGAGGTAAGAGTGTATTGCTGGGGAGTGTAGGGGAAACATAAACTGTCCATATGCAAACAATAACTAATCAATGCTCAAATAATAATAATATGTTAATAAATGTTAATTTGAAAATCGTCAACTGAAAATGTGGAGTAAAACCTCCCATTGTTTTATTTTTACCCTCTCAAATATACACTAAGACCTGTCAGTGCGTTTGCTTTTTGACGTCTATGTTTTCTCACTCTCACTGTTCTCTCTGTTTCAGATCGCCTATTCTACATCTACACATCAGGAACCACTGGGATGCCTAAAGCTGCCATTGTTGTGCACAGCAGGTAGGAAGGAGCCACACAGCTAACTAAAGACACGCAAGATGGCAGCTGCTCTCTTTGTTGATCCTTGCTGCTTTCATGTGTAGTTCAAGTATTGTAGTGGAGGAGAAACAACATAAAACGTGTCAGACTTATTTTTACTTTATTCTCTCTCCTCACCACACCCTGGTTTTCAGGTACTACCGCATGGCAGCTTTGGTATATTATGGCTTCAGGATGACGTCAGACGATGTGCTGTATGATTGCCTTCCACTCTACCACTCTGCAGGTAAAGTCATAACTGTGCAGCGTTGAGATTAGAGGTTCCTTTAGACTTCTATATTATTTGCTCTGGTCCAAATCAGTGGAGGAGTTTATAATCTTAACTTTCCAAACCAAAATGCATTAATAAAACTGCATCAAGAAGGCAACGCACTTCATTCTTTCTTTAGATCAGACCTTGATACATCCTAGATGCTTAAGACTGTTGTATTTTTCTCATCTACACCACATCATGCAGATCACAGCTGGCTACAGGAGCCGTTTAGCTCAAACTAGCACAGTCGGCCATGTAGTTGGCTCAGATGGAAGTGGGCTCACATTCCCAACACAAACAAGCTACACCAGAATTTGTTTGTGACCATGCTGACACCACTTTGTTCTGAGAAGATCTGTACAGTTGCTGTTTTTAGATATCTCCAAACAAATTGTACCAAGTGGGAAAATAAGTCCAATTAAACCGCACTAAACAATGAACGTTTGACTGTGGAGCCTTGTCCCTTTAATATGCAGTTTTTAACGCTGTATAATATTAGTTTATTATTATTATAAATGTCTTTCTATATTTCCATGTTGTGACTGGTACCCTTCGACTCTGACAGCTCATATTTCTCTGTCCACAGGAAACATTGTGGGAGTGGGCCAGTGTTTGATCCATGGCATGACTGTAGTCATCAGAAAGAAGTTCTCTGCCTCGCGTTTCTGGGACGACTGTGTCAAATACAACTGCACTGTAAGCGTAAATTACAAACCCCTGCCACAGACTTAGTTATTGAGTAGCACGCTATAGCCTCTCAGTGTCGCTGAAGACTTATTGCATGTCACCGCCTATAAAAGTAATCTCAAGATGTAATGTTATTCCCCTTCTGTGGAAGGATTTTTCATTGTTACAAGAAAGGTATTAAATCTGTAATAAATGTATTCATATCTCTGTTATGTCTCATCACTCAATTATTGTTTTTTACCCTCATCCTCCAACAGATTGTGCAGTACATTGGTGAGATCTGCAGATACCTGTTGAACCAGCCAGTGCGGGACACAGAACAGCAACATCGGGTGCGCATGGCACTGGGGAACGGCCTTCGCCAGAGCATATGGGAGGAGTTTATGAACCGCTTCAATATCCCGCAGATTGCAGAGTTCTACGGAGCAACAGAATGCAACTGCAGCCTGGGCAACTTCGATAACAGGGTAGGAATGTGCACTGAAGTTCTGATGCTCTGACCAAACATCACAGTCATTTTTGAGGAAACGTTCGGTCTAAAATTACTATTAATGTGTAGAGGTTACGCTGAGAGAACTTCATAATGTTATCTAAGGCTTTACCTTTCATTAGTGCTATAAAAGCCTTTTCATCATCCTCACCACACCGATCCACACTGTGGTTGTTGACATGGTTTGTCTGTCCTCTAGGTCGGAGCGTGCGGCTTCAACAGTCAGATTTTACCCTTCATCTACCCCATCAGACTGGTGAGGGTTGATGAAGAGACCATGGAACTCATTAGGGGACCTGACGGCGTCTGCATTCCCTGTAAACCTGGTATGTGTACTGTATGTGTGTGTACACATATTAAATGCTTTAGTGAACAAACAGAGGTGGTGTTAAGAAGAAAAGTACACAGCTGGTAATACATTCACAAACACATGTTTGATTAACAGTGGAATAAAGCTGAATGCTTACTCTGTGGTGATTCTGTTTATTTGGGCATGCGTTTGTCTTTCAACACAAAGACTGATGGCCTCACTTAAGACTGATGATGCGACATAAAAATGAAATGCACAGACCTCTGACGCACCTGGTGGAGATCAAATAAAACACTTTGAAATAACAGTTACAGTTTAAGTTTCGTTTATTAATATCTCTGGTCTTTCACACTTTTCTCTTTGGCTCTTTTTCTCTCTCTCTCTCTCTCTCTTTCACTTCCTCTTTCCCTCTCTCTCTTTCTTTTTCTAGGCGAGCCTGGCCAGCTCGTAGGCAGGATCATTCAGAACGACCCTCTCAGGAGGTTTGATGGCTATGTCAACCAAACAGCTACCAGCAAGAAGATTGCTCATAGTGTCTTCAAGAAGGGAGACAGTGCTTATCTCTCTGGTTAGTCACACAACCACACACACATGAAGTTATTCACCATATTCTCTTTTGAGTAAAACTAATTCATATGATCCTCTTCTCACCAGGTGATGTGTTGATCATGGACATTTACGGCAGCATGTATTTCAAGGACCGGACAGGAGACACTTTCCGCTGGAAAGGAGAGAACGTCTCCACAACTGAGGTGGAGGGAACGCTTAGCAGGCTGCTAGAAATGAAAGATGTAGTTGTGTACGGAGTGGAAGTACCAGGTAACGTCCTCTAACATATCGTTCATGTTTGAATATTTTTTGTGTGTATATGAATTTGAGGTTAAAAAAAGTCAATTTGTGTAAGAATTCTCATGCAGCCTTCCTGACACAGATCATCTTCTCATTCACACTCAAAATGTGCTTTAGTTGTGTCCTCTTCATGGCTTTCTGTTTTCAGTTGGATTTCAATATTATTGTAAAACATGTCTCAATTCAAATCATCCATGAAAACTAACATTGATTTTTAAAACAACATGCAGGGAGTGGACACAAACCAGATGGCTGAATAGAGAGCAATGAATCAAACTGTATTGTTTTTCAGCTGCAGTGTCTTTGCTTACTCTTGACCTATTGTGCCATAAATGAATTCTACCATTTAGAAATGTCACCACATATAAAGCTGAGCTGGAGTTGACGCTTTGCAGACTCTAAAGACAGACCACACTTTCACTATGATTAGATTAGAGAACTGTATTAATCGTGGAAGAGGGGAACTAGTTTGTTCAGAAAAGTACAGTGACAAATAACAAATAATAATTTGTCATAACATGAAAAAAGCTCTGCCCATTGAGCCACTAAAATAAAACACTAAAAATAATAGAATCAGGCAATGATCTATAGAGGTAAATGAACACAGGCAGACAGATCTTATCTGCTGTAAGACATTGCCTATACAGCAGTATATCTGTGAGAAATATACTGTGTAAAAATATGAGGACAGTATTTTGCATAAACCCAAGCATCTGCCTGACCTGACTCCTCGGCTCTAACCTCTAACTGGCCTGTTTGTGTGTGAGCAGGAGCCGAGGGAAAGGCTGGAATGGCAGCCATCGCCGATCCGTCTCACAACACAGACCTGGAGAAGTTTGTGAAGGACATGGAGAAGGCTCTGCCTCCGTACGCCAGACCCGTGTTCCTCCGCTTCCTTCCAGAAGTCAACAAGACAGGTACAATGCTCTTCCATTTCTGTTTGTGTAAAACATAAAAAGAAAAGATAAATACAGGCTTTCCTAAACTGCAATTTGAAAAATGTGTTTTGAAGAAGAGGTTAAATCCCTCTCCCCTCAAAAACTTCAAAAATCAAAGAGTTTCACAAGTGTTTTTTTTTTTTTTTACACATTCTTTTGTGGAATTTTGTTTTGGTATTCTTGCCTTAAATCTCACTTGAAAGTGTAGAAATGAGTTTGCTTTTGTTACATCATGAGTTCATAAAAAATCTACATCCAAAATGCAAACTCCTTTTGTTTAGTTAAACTTTTTGACAATTTGAACATGATTCTGTATTTTACAAAGTAAGTGTGGAAAAAATCGCTTCAGACTAATTATTATCTCCTGAATAAACTGAAATAACTAAGTGTTTTCTTCGTGTCTCCCTTTCTCAGGAACATTTAAGTTTCAGAAGACGGACATGCGTAGGGATGGATTTGACCCGAGCGCAGTGTCAGATAGACTCTACTTCCTGGATTCCAGCAGAGGGCGCTATGTGCGGCTGGATGAGGAGTTTTATCGCTCAATACTGTCAGGGAAACACAAGTTGTGATGACAAGGCTGACGACCACATCTATGTACGCACACACTCACACACACACACATACAGAGGGAGGAACATATTTTGAGAGCAGAATGCAGAACCTTGTCCCCACATACACATACAAATATAATACACATAATAGTCATACATATTAACATCTGCTCATTCTGATGCCAACACACACAGACATGTTTTATTCCCAAGCTCACTTAGCTCTTAGCAAGCTGCACACACACACACACACACAAACACACCCACCCACACACAGCACTATTCTATTCATCCCTCCTGAGATCTCCCCGGCAACTCCTCTTCCTACCTCAGCAAACACAGAGATGCACAAACCCAGCAACCAGGTGTATTTGGTAACTTGAAACCACACTTCATCGCCACATAATCCCGGTGCACACAGCTCTCAAACATCCCACCCCCCCACAGTGTGTTCATCATGATCCACTGAACCATATGTCATGGGGGGGGGGACACCACGGGCGGCTGGGAGAGGAGAGGGGTCTTCAGGAGTGCAGGCTGCCTGGCATCATGAATGCAAGAACTTGAAACTTACAGAAAACCACAGACTTTATGGACAGTGAAGAGGAATATGGATTCAGTACATGTTGGAGGGACCTACAAGGACCTAATCTCTCTCTCTCTCTCTCTCTCTCTC